GTAAATATGGTTCTACTCATATGTTTAAGTATAAGTCTGTAGCATTGGAGAAGTTCAATGTGAGACAGAACGAATAAGAAGAATCAAAGTATGGCAGAAAGATAAAAGTTTCTCAAGTCTGAAAAGATGGGAGAGTACTTTAGTATCATGTTATATGATCATCTTAATGATTTAAAGACCTTATCACAATTCATCCTCTAAGTGCATTCTGATAGTTAAGAAGAGGAGTTATGAATTGTTGAAGTGGTTAAATCAAGAAGATGAGTCATACTTCGTTCCAATACAAGTCTTAGAGTTATACTCTAAAATTGTAACTTGAGTGACATGTCTTAAAGAAGGTTTAAAACACTTGTCAAATGTAAGAGTAAAAGTTTTCTACTCCTGTACATTTGAAATTGGTAAGTTGTGATGTTTTGGATAAAACAAGACCAACTAAGGCCAATTGTGTGAAGTGTTTGTCTTGATTAGAATCCACACTATCTCTTGAATATTTGACAAGAGAGTCTTATATGTCAAGAGGACAATAAGAGTCTTAAAGGTCTTGAGAGTCTCAATAACTAATCAAGAATAAAACATGAAGTTCTTCACTAGCACACGGCTTGAGGTTTATAACCTATCATGTTGAAATTTTTGAGCCTATTCAAGTTGGCTTTGCATAGGAGTTCTGAGAGTTCTCAATTGGTTGAACAACAACTTGGAAGCAATGGCAGGCCCTTGAGCTTCCAGATGGCAAGAATTTAAGATTACACAAGTTTTATCCATATGAGTTTGGATTTGTCACTAACCTTGTCTTGTGATTATGGTTTTGAAAAATTCACATGGATAAGAACACATACACTATTAAATCTAAGTGTCATAAGGTTTCTCTCCGATTCATGAAAATGATGGTGAGGAAACACTTTCACTAAGTAGATTTTAGCTAGATATCAATTGTGATATTTGCATTCTCAAAGTCGTTAGTTGAGCGTGTGTAGTTTATCGGCACACTAACATGGACTTGTGAGAAGTGGCAAAGGTCTAAACATTGAGACTATGATTACGGCATCCGTTTTCATAGTTCTAAAATTGTTTAGACACACATGTGAGATATCTAAAAGAGGTGTATGATTTTGATAAAGTTTTATCAAAAAAATCTAGTATCAGAAATCTGAAATTTGGTAAGAAAGTCAATAAAGTATTGATTTCTAGAAGTCCAACTGATTTCTGAGTACATGTCAAAGCTAGTAGGAGCATAAGTGTTATGCTAATAATCATAATGTTAGTGGGAGCATGATAATTATGATAAAAGTTGCAAGTTAGCAATGTTAATTATATAAAACAAAAGTTTCAATTGGGAACGTGTTGTTTTGCTATAATTAAGGGAGAGGAAATTATATTTCATCTCAAATCTAAAAGCTTAGATTGATGTTTTAATCGTATTTAGTCAAGGAAATATATATGAATTTCATGTTGGAATGACTCAACATAAGGAAATTTAGTATATGGGTCCATTATTTGCGTTCTAAAATTCGATTATGATTACGGCATCCCTTTTCATAATCTGAATTATGAGAACTTGGCAAATTGAAATGGAAATATTATAGCAAAAGACTGGTTTAGTCTTTATGTGAGACATCATGAATCGTGTCCCATATGCTTCGGATATAGGATCGATTACATGTGCTATATTCATCCGTTCTAAAATTTTCCAAATGCCTGGGGCATTAAGAAGGGAAAAGGTCTAGAATTGGATATGACTAAAAGGATTAAACAATTGTCGAGGACAATCTAAGGTTTACCAAAGATTGGTTGCTCAAGGACAGTTGGAAGTATAATGATAATTCTGGAAGGACCATATTGACATAATCTGTAAGGAGGCAACTCTTGTTTAGAAGTGATAGTCAAAATGGAATATGGAAATGTTTCAAAGTTAGAAATTATTCAATCTGTGTAAGATTAGGAAACTTAATGCAAGAAGGATGTTTCCAAGGAGTTGATCTCCTTTGGAATGCTCTGTAATGTTTATTGTCAAGTCTTTGCGACTTTATGCATAATCATTACAAGAGGATCTATGCATATAAGTTTAGAATCTAACAGATTTCAGTAAATGGCATGAATTTGGAATTCTTGCATTTGCAGTAAGGATTTGGGACTATGAAAAGAGGATCATTGGAGTTATGTTCAATTGATCTAATTCAAAAAGTAAAGATCATAGACAAACATAGTATGCATACTTGGTGTGTGGCATGACTAGTGTTTAGAAAACATAGTGTACATGCTTGGAGCATGGGACAACTAGTGTTTTAATTCAAGAATAAAGTTGATAGCTGAAACAGTATACAATGAATAATGTGTAATCATATGGTGATAAATAAAAGGTGTTTTATTTATGTTCATAGGTTTTGATACCATATTGGATTCAATTATTATTGTGTTTCATTTTTGCATGTTTTAACTTCCAGAATAACTAGGTCATTGTTCTGGATGACTAAGTTATTCAAACCATCCACAGTCGGTCATATGTTGGAAGTAGATATGAATTAAGACTGTCATGGGTTGGCTTGTAGAGGTCTAAGATGTTGGACAAAGGGCTACAACACTCATGAGTGCTCATAAGTTCTGAGTATTGGATTCAACCCGCTCATTGGAATCACTTCATGGATTTTATCACGAGTGATCATGAGACGATAATATCTTATATTCTTCAAACCTAGAGATATGAGTTGTTACTATGAGTTGGTTGTACATTGATTGCACGAAAACGCATTCGGTAACTCGGTGTTATAAAATGCCTTTGTGTATGATTCAACAAGTAGTAGAACAAGCCATATGAGTCAAGTTTATCCATTCCTTTTACCTTCGGGATAAAAGCGATATCTGTGGGCCCCTCGATGATTTGATGATGACAAATGGAAGTGCTCGGCCGGGCCAGGACTGATTTGATTTGTTCAATTAGTCAGTCGTCATAAATCGGAAATCGGGAAACAACAAATGGACAGAGAGAATGATTATAATCCATGTCTCAGTCCATATGATATCTAGAATGGAGGAATATATGATCCCTTATCTAATGGACAAGTCATTGACAAGGTTAGAGTTCATCTACAAGGTCAGAGTTCGACAGAAGCTTTTGAGAGCTACGATTGCCAGTCGGTTCTTGAAGTCATACGCAATAATAGTTTTAGACTTATCCAAGTGGGAGACTGTTGGATTAATGTCTAAGTCCATAACTATAATTGGTAAGACTTGACCCGACCCGACATGGTCCATTTGGGTTGCATGGCATCATGCATTTGGATAGACTAAAATGAGAGAAATAACACTTAAGGTTTGTTAATATATTATAAGTTCTAATATATTAATAAGGTTATTTAATTAGTATTGATCAAGAATTAATTTGGAATTAATTAAGTGATCAAAAGAAGACTAATTAAATATATGGGTTGATTGTGTAAATCATTCATTCTTATATATGTGGGCTTGTGATCCAAGATTCCTTATGTTGGACTAAGTCCATGGGGTGACCCATGGATACTCCATGGAGGTTAAAATCCATGGAGCATAAGGAATGGGTAAAGTCATGAGTTACATGGTGTAACCCTAATAGCCACCATATAAAAGAATCCCATGGCTCAAGAAATCATGTACTATGTGTGAGTGTGAGGGCTAAACGATTTCAAGGAGTGTTCAAGTTTCTCTCAAGTTATTCCAAGTGTATTTGGTGTTGTGTGAACCATTTGAGGTGTCACACTTGGGGCACTAGGCACTCAAGCTTCATGAAGACTTTCTACATCAAAGAGGTATGTAATTCTAACTTGATATATTCATATGAATCATGTTATTATGCTAGTTAGGATGAATACCTTGGAAAGTTCATATTTGTATGTATAATAGAGAAAACATAGATCCAAGGTATTTAGGGTTGCATGTACACTTAGGAGTGTTAGAATGCTCAAAACCCAACAAAAATGTCCAACTGCAAACCTGCTCAGACTCCTGCGAATACATCAACCAAATTTGATGGTACAGGCCCTCTCATCTCTGATCCGACATGCATGGTCCCAAAGAGCCTCATTTTGCTGCTCTCAAGCGGATCCTTCGATAAATTCGAGGCACTATTCATCATGGTTTACAAGTTTATGCTTCCCCGTCTCGCGGATTGATTGTATATTCTGATGCTGATTGGGCCGGTTGTGATCCATGCATGGATCATGAAAGCCCAAAAGGTGATGGATTAGTTATTACTAGTGGGCTAGAAGGTGGTTTGGGCTCAATGGTTGGGTTGTGCATGGTAACCCACAAATTGAATTAGGGTTGCATGAAGGCTATGGCAACATTTTTAAGGCTTCATAAGTGCTAAAAACGTTACTTTTTACTTTATAAAGTCTCCTAGCCTTTTTTATCACTCTTTGGTGGATTAGGGTTACACTTTAATGCTTCTGATGGCTCATTAATGCTTCTTATGGCTCCTTAACGAAGCATAGACGTTTTCTCTTCATCCTCAAGTGTCTTGGACGTTTTTTTGTGTTATTTCAAGAGTTTCCTTAATTTTCATTTACTAGTTTTAATGAATAATTGGTTGGTTGGCTTGTAACCACCAAGTTTGTAATAAAGGCTTCATATAAAGCCAAGTTTATGCATGGGAAAGATAATAGATGAATTTTTAAGAAAAAAACCTTTGTTCAATTGAAATTATTGTTATAATTCACAAATTATCTTGTTAGGACGTGTTCTTGACTTGATACGAACTCAATCCAATAGGTCTTGGATTGTTTTCACCAGTATACAACTTAATAGGTCTTGAGTTGTTATTAATCTATCCATTTTTTTCCATTCACATATCATTTGTGGTTGCTATTCTCTCTTAATTTACCTAAACACTACCCTACTCATCAAATCAAGCCCATACACATATCATAAGTGGTATTAGAGACTGGTTTCGATTGGGTGTAACTGAGTTCTTGTTAAAAAAATTCCTGCTATTTTTTTTATTTCAGTTGTTCAAAAGTTGTTGTCCAAAAATGTTGCGCAAATTATATGATGAAGAACAAATAGAGGAAGATAAATTTGAAGAAGAGGAGAAAGAAGATTTCGTTCCCATCTACGACGCCGATGGGGAAAGGGAATTTTGTGAAAGAATAAATTTCTTGGTTGAAGAGGAATTTATTGAAGAAATTGAAGAAGAAACTAATTTCATGATCGGAGATGAATTTGTTGAAACAATTGTGGAAGAAATCAATTTTGCTGATATGGGCAAAATTGTTGAGGAAATTGTGATTTTTGTTGAACAACAAATTTCATTCCAAGAGCTTACAACCATGAGAACAAATGACTATAAGTGCCATAAAAATTCAGGTTCTCATATCTTTTATGAATATAATTTCTTTTCTAAAGATCTTAAAGAAATCCAAATTGGAAGCTTCATTGATCAAGAAGGTTTATTCATTTTTCATCTTCATTTTCGTTTCAAAGTGTGGGGGATTTTTACACTTTGGAGGCCATGTAATGCTTATATTTTTCATTTTGAAGGCTTTGGTGAGAGGAGGAAGCATGGTGAGATGTTGGATTTTACTAACTATGATCTTAATAATGATGTTTTTGTTTTGTCTTTGTTCATTGATCAAAAGGAGAAAAAAGACTTGCTTATTACTTTTGATAAAAAGTTTTGTGCAATTAGAGATGGAGACTTTTCATTTGTGGCTCAAAAACAACAAGATCAATTATTTTTGGATGATGGTAGAATTTTGTACCCTCCAAAAGACGATATGATGATTTCCAAAAAAATATGTGTTCATGGTGGTAGTAATCAGTCACCAAAAGAGGCATTGAGTGGCAATTCTTATGCCAATTTTCTATGTTGTCCACAAACAAAACATATTTTCATTAATTCTTCATTCATTTTTCAAAAACACCAAGACCGATGGCATGAAGTTTGTTGGGAACGAAAGAAGAAGGATGGTATCCATATTTTTACAAACCATCTTTCTAAGAGAAAATATGAAGATACAAGTCCTAATTATTTAAATAGGAGGGAGCTCATGATGTTTGGACTCATATTCTCTTGGTGTGCCTTTAATCGGGAAGCCGTGATATTGGGGCATGTTGCTCATCAACTTACAAATACAAACCATGATCCATTCTTTAAAATGACTACAATTAACCATTTAAATTATTACAAGGTTAATTTGTAGGGTCGAGTTCATGGGAATGTACGAAAGTGGCTTTTCATCCACAAATGGAAGATACGGTTAGGATTGAATATGGAGAGTTATTTGAGTTGTTTGAAGAAGAACATGTGTATGTGGAGAAAAGACCAAGTTGGAGTAAAGAAAAGGTCACATTATGCAATAAAAAATTGTTTTCAAGACTCAATGTCATGGAAGGTTCGTATGAGGGAACAACACAATTTGGTTCTTACTGAATTGAGGACAATTCCTTTTGAAGAAGGAGATAATGATACATGTGTGGAAGTGAAAATTTCTGAAAATGATAATGGTTACAATTTGGATTTGGGAGGAGACCATGGAATGCATGCTACCTTTAATGTGGGAGATCTTTCACCTTATCTTGATGATGATGGACTTGATGAGTTGAGGTCAATTCCTTTCAAAGGGGGAGGGGATGATCCATGCATGGATCATGAAAGCTCAAAAGGTGATGGATTAGTTATTACTAGTGGGCTAGAAGGTGGTTTGGGCTCAATGGTTGGGTTGTGCATGGTAACCCACAAATTGAATTAGGGTTGCATGAAGGCTATGGCAACATTTTTAAGGCTTCATAAGTGCTAAAAACGTTACTTTTTACTTTATAAAGTCTCCTAGCCTTTTTTATCACTCTTTGGTGGATTAGGGTTACACTTTAATGCTTCTGATGGCTCATTAATGCTTCTTATGGCTCCTTAACGAAGCATAGACGTTTTCTCTTCATCCTCAAGTGTCTTGGACGTTTTTTTGTGTTATTTCAAGAGTTTCCTTAATTTTCATTTACTAGTTTTAATGAATAATTGGTTGGTTGGCTTGTAACCACCAAGTTTGTAATAAAGGCTTCATATAAAGCCAAGTTTATGCATGGAAAAAGATATAGACGAATTTTTAAAAAAAAACCTTTGTTCAATTGAATTATTGTTATAATTCACAAATTATCTTGTTAGGACGTGTTCTTGACTTGATACGAACTCAATCCAATAGGTCTTGGATTGTTTTCACAGTATACAACTTAATAGGTCTTGAGTTGTTACTAATCTATCCATTTCTTTCCATTCACATATCATTTGTGGTTACTATTCTCTTTTAATTTACCTAAACACTACCCTACTCACCAAATCAAGCCCATACACGTATCATAAGTGGTATCAGAGCCTAGTTCCGATTGGGTTTGTTCAAAAGAAATTCTGCTAAGTTTGTTTGAACTGAGTTGTTATCCAAAAATGTTGCGCAAGCTATATGTTGAAGAAGAGGAGGAAGAAGATTTCGGTCCCATCTACGACACCGATGGTGAAGGGGAATTTTGTGAAAGAATAAATTTCTTGTTTGAAGAGGAATTTATTGAAAAATTCACTTTCATGGTTGGAGATGAAATTATTGAAGACTCTAGCCCTATCTACGATATTTATGGGGAAGAGGATCATGAAGAAATTGAAGAAGAAATAAATTTTGTGCTTGGAAACGAAATTGATGAAAAGTTTTTGAAAGAAAAAGATTTTGTTGTTACAAACAAAATTGTTGAAGAAAAGGTTGAAGAATTCAAAGAGGTGGAGCAAGTTCTTGACCACGAAGATGTGGTTGTGGTTAAGAAGGATGATGATACTCGTCTTATAACAAACCGTCTTTCTAAGAACCTAGAAGAAGGAGTGACCCATCAAGTTCCAAGTTCCAAGCAATTACGAGGTAGGGAGTTTATAATGCTTGGATTCCTATTCTTGTGGTGTACCTTTAGTTGGGAAGCCATGTTATTGGAACATGTTGTTCATCAACCCACAAGTACAAACCATGATCTAATATTTCATATGGCCATTGTTAATCCTTTAAATTATTTCAAGAATAATTTACTAGGTCCTAATCTTGTTCATGGGAGTGTACGAAAGTGGTTTTTGATCCACAAATGGAAGACACGGTTAGGATTTCATTTGGCGAGTTCTTTTAGCTATTTGAAGAACATGTGTATGTGGAGAAGAGACCAACTTGGAGTAAAGAAAATGTCACATTCTGCAATAAAAATATGTTTTCAAGACCTATTGTCATGGAAGGTTTGTATGGGAGAACAACAAAATTTGGTTCTTACTGAATTGAGGACAATTCCTTTCGAAGAAGGAGGGAATGATACATGTGTGGAAGTGACAAATTTTGAAAATGATAATGGTTACAATGTGGATTTGGGAGGAGACCATGGAATGCATGCTACCTTTAATGTGGGAGATCTTTCACCTTATCTTGATGATGATGGACTTGATGAATTGAGGTCAATTCCTTCCAAAGGGGGAGGGGATGATCCATGCATGGATTATGAAAGCCCAAAAGGTGATGGATTAGTGATTACTAGTGGGCTAGAAGGTGGCTTGGGCTCAATGGTTGGGTTGTGCATGGTAGCCCACAAATTGAATTAGGGTTGCATGAAGGCTAGGGCAACATTTTTAAGGCTTCATAAGTGTTAAAAACGTTACTTTTTACTTCATAAAGCCTCCTAGCCGTTTTTATCACTCTTTGGTGGATTAGGGTTACACTTTAATGCTTCTGATGGCTCATTAATGCTTCTTATGGCTCCTTAATGAAGCATAAACGTTTTTTCTTCATCCTCAAGTGTCTTGGACGTTTTTTTTGTGTTATTTCAAGAGTTTCCTTAATTTCATTTACTAGTTTTAATGAATAATTGGTTGGTTGGCTTGTAACCACCAAGTTTAATAAAGGCTTCATATAAAGCCAAGTTTATGCATGGAAAAAGATATAGACGAATTTTTAAGAAAAAAACCTTTGTTCAATTAGAATTATTGTTATAATTCACAAATTATCTTGTTAGGACGTGTTCTTGACTAGATACGAACTCAATCCAATAGGTCTTGGATTGTTTTCACTGGTATACAACTTAATAGGTCTTGAGTTGTTACTAATCTATCCATTTCTTTCCATTCACATATCATTTGTGGTTGTTATTCTCTGTTAATTTACCTAAACACTACCTTACTCATCAAATCAAGCCCATACACGTATCACCTTGACCTTCCGGTCCATGTGTCTCAGGGGACTTTCGTTCGGATTGGGTAAACCTTACGGTCCTACCCACGTCAACCTTACAGTCCATATGACCACGCCTTCCAGCCCATATCATGTTGCCTTCCGGCCCAAATCAAACATATCATACATGGCACATATAACGAATAACTTAACACACATAAGGCATATATCTCATATCATATTCGACCTTCCGGTCACACAGTCAAAACCCTTCCGGGTACAGTATAGTGAGAAGACTCACCTCGTATGCCTCGCTAAGTCGCTAATCATGAATCCTGGAATCACTCGGGCTCGAACCCTCGAGCTGCAATCCTCCTATGATATTATAAATCTATAATTATTAATTGAACCACAAAGGTGGACCATCCATATCAAGTCAACACAGGTTGACTTGGTCAACAGTCTTTAGTCAATTTGGACCGGACTCGGCGAGTGCACAATAGTGACTCGGCGAGTCTACGCATTTTAACCAACTCTCAAGGTTTTTCCCTTTGACTCGTCGAGTACTCCCCCGACTCGACGAGTTCCACCTGGGCCTGAATCACAGGGCCACCGCGACTCAACTCGCCGAGTCGAAGGTCAACTCGGCGAGTCCCAACCTGACTCGGTCCACCTATCAAAACCTTTCCAACTCTCTGCGACTCACTGAGTCGCCCATAACTCGGTTAGGACTACATACAGGGTGGTCTCAAGGACAATCTTCAAGCGACTCGTCGAGTCTGTTCTTCAGACTCGGTGAGTCCATGCCATGCACCAGCTAAAACTGGCTTTTGCGGTCAGATCCGTTCCATACATACATAGATCTGGCCTTCCCAAGCTTATTTGTCACGTAAAGTCTCAGTCTTGGTTGCCATGCAATGCATACAAGGCTTATTTTGAAGAAACAACCTCTAATATGGCAAGTTTAGCTTCTAACTCAAAAGAATGGACATAAAGCTTGTCATATGGGGTCTCCTGGACCTGCTAAGGTCCAGATCTAGGTTCCATATCTCCATGGGACCTCTCATACTTCCGATCCAAGCCAAGAAATGCAAGAAGAAACCCTAGATTTGGCACATCAACACAAAACATGAAGTTTGGCTCTGAAAATTACCTCAAGAAAACTCCCTTGATGAAATAGCAACAGATCCAAGCTCCCCAACTCTTCAAGCTTGATCCTCTCCCTCCTTTCCTTGCAATATCACACAAAATGATTTACAAATGGCCTCCAAACACACTCACAAGGGCTCACAGTCGAATGGGGGCTCTTAGGGTTCAAGGTGGCCGCAAATGAGGGCCATAAGGTCCTTTAAATAGGGCTTAGGACCGGGAAATTAGGGTTTCATTAAACAGCGCGGACTCGCCGAGTCCGCCCCTTGGACTCGCCGAGTCCGGACGCGAACCCCCGTCGAAAACCGTGACCCGACTCGGCGAGTTCGACCTCCAACTCGTCGAGTCCCCTCACAGAATTGTCAAAAATATGAAATGAAGGTACCTAGGGATCCGGGCTGTTACAATTCTCCCCCACTAGAATAAGACTTCGCCCTCGAAGTCCCGCTAGGCAAATAGCTCCGGATGCTGCTCCCGCATCTCGCGTTCCGGCTCCCAGTTCATCTCTGATCCCTTCCGATGCTGCCACTGAACCAATACCAGGGGTACCTCCTTGTTTCTCAAAACCTTGATCTTCCGATCTCTGATGGCTTCAGGTCTTTCAGCATAATTCAGGCTTGCATCCACCTGAATATCCCCTAATGGAACCACCGCCGATTCGTCGGCTATACACTTCCTCAGTTGCGACACATGGAAAGTATCGTGAATCTGTCCCAACTCTGCTGGCAAGTCTAAACGGTAGGCTACCCGGCCCACCCTCGCGATCACACGGAAAGGACCAATATATCGGGGCCCCAACTTGCCCCTCTTCCTGAACCGAATCACTCCTTTCCAAGGAGAGACCTTCAGGAGTACGAGATCACCAACTTGGAACTCAAGCTCGGACCGTCGCCTGTCTGCATAACTCTTCTGTCGGCTCTGAGCGGTCAACAACCTTTGCCTGACCATCTGAATTTGCTCGGTCGTCTGAAGCACGATCTCCGTGCTACCCATAACCTGCTGTCCCACCTCACCCCAACAGATGGGGGTGCGACACCTCCGCCCATACAACAGCTCAAAGGGCGGCATACCAATGCTCGAATGATGGCTGTTGTTATACGAGAAC